CATGGCTTGATTGAGCCACACCTTCATTGCAGCCACACCTTTACATTGCTGCAGCTAGCAGCAGTGCAGCAAATATGCTGGAGCTCTTTGTCTAAAAAAAACAAAAAAATTCTCCGTCTGTCTAAAACATTCACTAAGTTTTAATAAATCTAGTACATGCTGAAGCTTCTTCTCTGTCTCAAAACTTTCACCAATTATTTTCTCTTAATTTATTGAAACTGTTACATACAGATTGTGTCGAGGGTACGCACTTTAGTGCTCTCGTTCATTCTGTGTGCTAGATTTTGTCTTTGAGAATGTATATCTTTACAATCGCGTGCTCTAAACCTGTGAGAGCTTCTCTTCTGTTAGGAAAAGTCTTGCTTTACTGCTTCGAGATGTTTCGAGAACAGCTCTAGGTAGTACAAGCTTTTTAACTCACGAGAAAATGCCCAGCAATAGCGGTAGTACTCTGGATGTAAATGAGACTCTTTCCCAGTAGATCAAGACTATTTATTTATTTAATATGTGTGGGACTCTTTAAATCTTCCTTTTTGGTGAGTTATACTAGCTACTCGAATTTCATCCCGAGTAAAGTGCTGTAGCAGTAGTTCGCTAGTCCATGGCTAGTCTAAGGATCCTAAACTCTCTTAAGTCACTCAATCTATCTAGGCAACAGTATTTGTGCCATTATAACATCATATAGTGCTTAGAAGAAGAGAAAAAAATGTGAAGCTTCCCTCTCACATGGTCTTGCTGCATTAATGCCACGCCTCCAAGCAGGACCAAGCTGGGAGTTGGCCCTGCAGCTTGCCAGTTCTGCAAGCATGCAAGAGCTAGTGTTACTGCAGCTAGGAAGCTAGCTGTTATGATAATCCCTTGGCCTCAAAAGCACAATTTCTAATTTTTTTGCATAGCATGTTTTTGATAGATTGTGGCCACAACAATAGCTGTGGTTATGAAACCCATGATACTTTTAAAATGAGAGTGCAATAAGTATAAATATAGTGTATAAATAAGTGATAAATCTTGAGATGCTAATGGGAATTTATGAACACGTTTTACCAATTTTTGGGATTCTAGAGTCCCATCATACTTTTCACACTTGCTTAGTCCAGGCTGTCAGCACTTTTGATCTATATCATTTAAATGTACTGGCTTAGGCTAGCTAAGCATAACACATCCCAAGCAGCTTTAGGGGCGAGGCCACGCACCTTTGGTGTCTCGTTGAGGTGGTTACCCTAACTATGATAATATAGAAGGTATACTAATAATACTATGTACAGCACTCCTACATGTATACTACAAAAACATTCTACACTTTATCTTTTAACAGCTATAATTATTAGTTAGTGATGGCAACATAATAATTTAAAAATAGAAAACATGCATGCAAAATTGTATACACGAAAATCAGTTTGCTCTAAATGCTCTTATTTCATTTGTATTGACAGTTCATTATACTGCAGTTATTACATGTACTGGTACATGGTTACAGCTTTCTAGTAAGATCATTGGCAGCACAAAGTATTGGCAGAAATACAGGAACGCATACAATCGTAAATTTTAGCATCAAAAAATTATTGATAAAATTGTTTGCAATAACACACCTCACTAGTCACTACATCAAAAAAATCTAAAACACGCAATACGCAATAAGATTAAAATGGAATGAAAAGCAAGCACACATGAAGCTAAGCTACAGTTTTACAAAGTATTGTCTACTTGGATCCTCGAGCAATAGCTAAAAAAGCAGGAATCAGAGCCTTCCTTATTTCCTCAGAAAACTTAGTTTCATGTATATAACTGGTTCCCTTTGCTGATAGCTGCTGCATAGCAAGAGCTTTCTGCAACATTTCATTAGGTATCTTACCAACAAACCGGGCCAATGTTGGCTTAGGCAAACCATCACAAGGGCCATAGCATTGATGAATGAGGAAGAACATTGCCATCCCTTCAATTCCAGTATCAGTCACTCCATATTCCCTTTTAACAGAGAGCATAGCAGGATCTGTTAATCTATAACGGCTTCCATTCTTCACTCCTTGTATATCAGCAACCATTTCTTCTCCTTTGCTTCTTATCCAGCTCCAGTGCATGAAGGCTGTCAAGATTTGGTCCACTCCACGAGCTTCAGATGACACATACCCATAATTGGTGCACCATTTGGTGTATTCCCCTTCAAGATAGTCTTCATGTACTGCATACTCATCAACCTTGACTTTTGTACTAGAGCCAGCAAATGTAACTATACTGGTTTCACATGTAGTAAATTCCAATCCTCTTCCAAATTCTGAGGCATATTCTTGAGCTTTAGAGTAAATCTTCAAGGTGGAATCCCAACCTTTTCGTTCCCAAATGTAGTTGTCTTTAAATTTCTTTACTACAATACTCTGCCCACATTTAGTAGGATGTTTAGTATAGCGCCCCTTGAAAGCATACCTAAATCTTCCTTCAGCAAAGGGTTCTCTGCGAAAAGTTGTCTCCCATTTAGACATGATTTACTAAATACTTTTTTCCAAGCTAATAATGAAAAAAGGTGAGGTTAATATGTATAGCCGTATTTAAGCCGGGGGGAGTACCTGGGTCATTCCCTTTCTTAAATAGATTATTGCTTTAACGAGACACTGTTGGTTCGTTGGCCTTGCCAAAACAAACAGAAACAATAATATGTTTTGCACGTATGAATTCAAAACTGACTTGTCCTACATACAATGTATTAGCACTGTAGGTACATGTATTAAAAGTTGCTTGTGTTCATTGCTATAGTTTTATTGCATTCTTCATAGTCTAATTAAATGTGAGGGTGTTTGGGTGTAGTTGTCATAGTACAGTGAAAGTGTGTGCCTGATTATCACTCCTTTAATACATAGTGCTTTTGACATGTAGCTGGTTTAGCTGAACACTCTATCAGAGCAGTAATTACTGGGTTGCTGCACTGGTAATGGCTATAGGAACCAGCATAACCTTTATTTTTTTAAATTCATCTTGTAACAGTTATGTTAGTTAGTATAATAATTTAAAATGGAAACATGCATGCAAATGTACACACGGAAATCAGTTTTCTCTAAAATCTAAATGCTCTTATTTTATTTGTAAAGACAGCTCATTATACTGCAGCTATTACATGTACTGGTACATGGTTACAACTTTCTAGTAAGATCATTGGCACAGAGTATTGGCAGAAATACAGGAACGCATGTAATCATAAATTTTAGCATCAAAAAATAATTATTGATATAAACGTTTTGTTAATATTTAATTTTGCAATGACACATCTCACTGCATCAAATATCTATAACACACAATATGTTATAAGATTATAATGCAAGCTAAGATATACAGTTTTATAAAGTATTGTCTACTTTCCTTGAGCAATAGCTAAAAAAACAGGAATAAGAGCCTTCCTAACTGCCTCAGGAAACTTAGTTTCACGTGAGTAAGTGGTTCCCCTTGCTGACAACTGTTGCAAAGCAAGAGCTTGCTGCAGCATAGTATCAGGTATCTTACCAACAAATTGGACCAATGTTGGCCTAGGCAAACCTTTACAAGGGCCAGAGCATTCATGAACGAGAAAGAACATAGCCATTCCTTCAATCCCAGTATCAGTCACTCCATATTCCCTTTTAACAGAGAGCATAGCAGGATCTGTCAATTTGTAGCGACTTCCATTCTTCACTCCTTGTATATCAGAAACCATTTCCTCTCCTTTGCTTCTTATCCAGCTCCAGTGCATGAAGCCTGTCAAGATTTGGTCCACTCCACGAGCTTCAGCTGATACATACCCATAATTGTTGCACCATTTGGTAAATTTTCCTTCAAGATAATCTTCAAGCACTGTGTACTCATCGACCTTGACTTTTGTACTAGAGCCAGTTGTTTTAACTATACCGGTTTCACATGTAGTAAATTCCAATCCTCTTCCAAATCCTGAGGCATATTTTTGAGCTTTAGAGTAAATCTTCAAGGTGGAGTCCCAACCTTTTTGTTCCCAAATGTAGCTGTCTTTGAATTTCTTCATAACAATACTCTGCCCACATTTAGTAGCATGCTGGGTGTAGCACCCTTTGAAAGCATATCTAAATCTTCCTTCAGCAAAGGGCTCTGCTTCAAAAGAATACTTCCATATAGACATGATTTACTGAATATTTTTTTCCAAGCTAATAATGAAAAAAGGTGAAGTTATATATATAGCTGTATTTAAGCCAGGGGGAGTACCTGGGTCATTTCCTTTCTTAAATGGATTACTCCTATAACAAGAGTGTCTCAGGCAAAATTTGGCTCAAGACAGGGTGTTACTGTTTGAATAGCAGCCCGAGCCAAAGCTGAGGGCTACTATTCAACCAGTAATACCCTTCTTGAGCCAAATTTTGCCCAAATCACTCTTGTTACTCTTGTTTACAATGTGCTATACAAGCTAATTTAGCTTAGCAATCTATTCCATTATTAGAGCAGTAAATATTGGGCTGCTGCACCGGTAATTGCTAACTATAGGAGCCAAGATCATGCATGTAGTGGTTTGTATTCTCTAAAGTACAGAACAAATAGATTGAGTGCGACAATTTCCATACATTTGATTATTTCCTCAATGAGCAGCACTGTGTCAGTCAACCAAGGAAGAATAGCATCACAATCTAAAAAGGCAATTGTGGATCTGGATTTATTATTGATAAGAATAGAATGTATCATTTATTTTGATCCTGTAGCTTAACATGATGGCCAATTGGCCATACATTATAAAAAACAAAACAGCACTTACTGCTGGTTTATTCTAAAGGATAATAGTACATGTATGTACCAGAATTATATGTTTAACATAATATAGCAGAATATACTAGGTCAGGCCCGTAGCCAGGGGGGGTTCGGGGGGTTCGGACGAACCCCCTGTTGTAGCTGCAAAAAAGTTTTAGATTAGCACCTGTCATGAAGAACAGCACTGCAAAAGCAGGATTAGCATTTTGGCAACAGCGAGAGCACAGATAGCCATTTTAGCTGAGTCAGCACATGGCTGAGATGCGTAAAGTAAGACCACGCCTACCAACCACGCCCATTTTCGTCAAAATTTTCACTGCGCGCTTCGTGCGCAGCAATTTCCGAACCCCCTATTTTAAGTTCCTGGCTACGGCCCTGTAGGTAAGTAGGTATACTACATGTACAAAGCTACCAGCTTTCCTATACTACAAAGACATTCATTCTACACTTAATCATGTAACAGTTATGGTAATTAGCTAAAATATTGAGGAGGTGAGCCTAAGCAAGCAAAACATCTTATTGGGGCTCACTCGGCTCACCCCAATTATTATTAATAATATTATTATCATTATTATAATAAATAAATTAGGACAGGTTAGAATAGATTAGGTCAGGTTAGAGTAGGAGAATATTATTATTATTATCATGAGACAGATTTGACGTGTAATATTAAAAGTTTATTTGTAATTATTGTTTATTTTTATGTTGTTTTATTATTATTATTATTATTATTATTATTATTATTATTATTATTATTAGTGTTCAGTTGGCTCGGAGGGTTTTAAAACTGGAGCGAATCAATGCTTCTCTACGACAGCAGCTTGGAACTCAAGAGAAAGAAAAGAATACACTAAATGGAGAAGTGAGAGAGAGGGGGGGAGAAGGAGGGCAATACTGTATTATAGTGGATAATCATCTTCTAATATTAAAATCTTCACAAATTAATCAAAAATAACATCTGGATTATACTTTGTAAAGTTATCCAGCTATAAAATGATGTATAACTAATAAATTTTTTTACAAACTTTGCTATTATTTTGTGTTTCTTTAGTTAACTCAAATGAAGTCCCAGTTTGAGTTATCAAGTCAACCACACAAATATTTAATGGAGACACTCCAAGGAAGAGATAAGAAGATAGAAAAACTAACAGAGACTAATATTGCCCTGGAGAAAAGGATCAGGTGCATTGAATATGAAGAGAGAGTGTGTTGGATTTTTTACTCAATGATTTTATTTATTTTTGTATAGTGTTTTAGAAAAGAAGTTAAAGCAAGTTATAGAAGAAAAGAATAAGCTGTCACTTGATCTGGAGAGACTGCTCTCCCATCAAGAAGTGAGAGACACTCGTTTCCTCTCATTCGTAATGCATACATGTACATGCATAGCCATAGCCCATGGTTTTCCAAAAAATGGCTCCAAAGTTACCCCTCCCCCCAAATTTTTATTACATTTTCTGATACATAATGATGTCCTTATGCTATGTAGAAAGTTTGAGCGGATTCCAACTTCAATTTTTCAAATTACAGCCATTTTAAGAAATAGGCCATTTTTTGAAAAATACCCTGTACTATAGCCCATGGTTTCTCGAAAAAATGGCTCCAAAATCACCCCAAATTTTTATTACATTTTCTGATACATAATGATGTCCTTATGCTATGTAGAAAGTTTGAGCGGATTCCAACTTCAATTTTTCAAATTACAGCCATTTTAAGAAATAGGCCATTTTTTGAAAAATACCCTGTACTATAGCCCATGGTTTCTCGAAAAAATGGCTCCAAAATCACCCCAAATTTTTATTACATTTTCTGATACATAATGATGTCCTTATGCTATGTAGAAAGTTTGAGCCAATTCCGACTTCAATTTTTCAAGTTACGGCCATTTTAAGAAATAGGCCATTTTCTAAAAATTTCCCTGTACTATAGCCCATGGTTTTTTCGAAAAAATGGCTCCAAAATCACCCCAAATTTTTATTACATTTTCTGATACATATTGATGTCCTTATGCTATGTAGAAAGTTTGAGTTGATTCTGACTTCAATTTTTCAAGTTACGGCCATTTTAAGAAATAGGCCATTTTCTGAAAATTTCCCTGTACTATAGCCCATGGTTTTTTTTTGAAAAAATGGCTCCGAAATTATCCCCAATTTTTATTACATTTTCTGATACATATTGATGTCCTTATGCTATGTAGAAAGTTTGATCTGATTCCAACTTCAAATTTTCAAGTTATGGCCATTTGAAAAAATGGGCCAAAATCTGAACCATGGTTTTTTCCAAAAATAGCTTCAAAATCACCCCCAGTTTTTACTGCATTAATGTTTTGCTATGTACATGTACATCTAACCATTCCAAGCAGAGAGTAGTGACACTTTTTACTCCTCTTTATTACAGGAGGTATCAATCATAAAGAATCTGGTAGCTAGTATCGGCAGAGGTGGTGGAGAGGGTTACTCCAGTTCTCACGTACGGCCACCTCCTCACAGGAAATGCTACCCTCCTCCTCTCACCTCTCAACCACAACCAACCATATTTGTAAGTGAATAAATATACATAGTTACATACTATAGATTTATTATACGTATTGCACATGCATGAATATTATAGTCCTTAGCTCTAGTTATCCAGTTTATTACATTCACGTTTAGTACATTACATGTAGTCAGGTTTAGTCTAGCGTTACCCATACCTAAAATGATTGATATATACCTATTAGTGTTATACCTGTTACATGTAGTTTCACATTGCTGTCACATACCGTATAGTGGTTATATTTCACTGGAAATAAATTTTGCTAATTTTGCGCATTTTTATTAATTTGCAAAGTTAAATTCCAAAAAGAGGTATGGCACACTAGTAAAGATGGCTGCAGAAGGCAAGATTCGCAAAATTTTATACCAACAAAATAAAACCCCTATACGGTATACATGTGTATATAGTTACATGTAAACATGTG